GGCTTTAGGCAGCAGCTGGGGGGAGCTGGGCTTTAGGCAGCAGCTGGACTCGTGCAGAATTTGGGTGCTTACATAGTGGTGCTTACATATAAAGACAAACGCTCTGGATGCAGCTTTTTGGGTGCTTTTACATTATGTGGGTAAGATGAATCCTGGGCTGTCCTGCTTCTGTCAGCTGGGATGGAAAACTCCTGCACTTAGTTTTTGCAAGTAGATAAGTTTGCACAATTTTCTTGTCTTTGCTTCATGTTGAACATGAAGGAGGACTCTCAGGGGGTCTGTTCAGAACAGTCTTGAGAAGAGTGAGTGAGAAGGAGCCAAAATGTGTCTTCCTTGTCCTCAACTGCAGAAACAGAATCCTGGTTTAGGTTATGAATGCTTTTCCCTTGGTGTATGTCTTAGATAGTAAGGGCCAACTTTCTGGTAGATCACATATGAAGAATAGTTGTCTAAAGTCTTATATTTGCTTTTCTTGCAGCCTGGGTTGTTAGGTGTGTTCCAGAAGTTGATTGCCTCTAAAGCTAATGATCATCAAGGCTTCTATCTTTTAAACAGTATCATTGAACATATGCCTCCGTGAGTATGAGTTCAAATTATATTCAAAACTAACTTCTGTAGACTTTAATTATAAAGTGTGCAATCATGCCAAATGTTAATCTTCACAGCCAAAAATGTCACATTTGTCAGTCAAATAGATTTGAACGATTTTATGCATGTTTTCTGTGAAGTGACGTCAGTAAAATCCTAATGTGATTGAATAACTCTTCTTTTAAATTTCCAGTGAATCAGTTGACCAGTACAGGAAACAGATCTTCATTTTGTTATTCCAAAGACTTCAAAATTCCAAAACAACAAAGTTTATCAAAAGTAAGTTCCTGGCTCTGAAAAGCTGCAGTGTTACACCAGCAGTTCAGTGTGCAGCTGCATGGATCAAGTGTCCTGTGGGTACATGGATGGAGGGGTTCTGGTGACTCCAGGGACTTGCTCCAAATTATTTCTATAATCAAGGGGGGCATAAGGGGCAGTCACCACAGCAGGTGACACTTATTTCATGAAAATTGAGGGAATGGAACTAAAATAGGGGGACAAGAGTTGTGTAGTCCTCTTCCTTTGCTAGTGTGTGTTTTGGTGTTGATTATTTGAAAGTGTGTCCATTTAGTCTCCAACTAAGAGCAGGAAACTTTGCCTCTCACATAGCACAGCAATGCTGACCACTGTTGTATGGAGTTTCTGGGAAATATTCCATTCTTTTGTGTCATTTTTTGCCTTAAATGACTAAAGTTATTTATAAAGGTTTTATGTTAAACTGGCAAAGCTGTGACCAATAACTGAAATACATAGACAAGAAGATTGTCATACTGATGAAAATATTTTAATGATATTATCTCTACACAAATTACACAATGTCGATTACTTAATCCTATAAAATCTGATTAATGCCCCTGATAGGAGCAAGAATTACAAGGTTGCTCATAATGGTCCTCCACAAACAAAACCAAAGCGATGCTTTCAGTGTTTAACATTTTAAGTCTTGTGATACATGAGAAGATCAGCAGTTTTTAGGCCAACTTCAAGGCAGCAAGTTTATGTACTTCACTAGAAGTGAACATTTATAAAGGCTGCAGTTTCTATCCCCTTGAAAAACTTGTTAGAATATATTTTGCTGCAGGCTCTAAAGCTATTCTTTTGTTTCCATGTTGAGTTTTAATTTGAGCTTTTTCTTGTTACAGGTTTTCTCGTCTTCATTAACTTGTATTGCATAAGATATGGGGCATTAGCTCTGCAGGAGATATTTGACAGCATACAGCCAAAGTTAGTATGTTTTGTTTGTTTGGGTTTATTTAAGACTGCTGTGTAATTTTTATCTTTGAAGTAAGAAAGTAGTCTCTTTAGCTGAACTGGCAAACTCTGTTTGTCACTAATTTGACTGGCCAGATGTTTCTCCTGTTGTGGTTCATGTGGTTCATGTCTAGCAATTCTTCTTATTTTCTGCCCACAGTTCCTCATTGATAGTTCAAGTTACTGATCTAAGCAGGTCATAAAAAGTCTTTATCCTTTGCAAAAAGGTTGTATGTGCAAATGTCTACTGCAACAGGGCACCATCTTAACAAATTATCTTGTATTCTCTATTTCCTAGTGATTCATATTGTTTCTGGTTTTCTTCTGTCACCATGAGGCTGATAAGGCTTTCTAATACTTTTTCTCTCAATTTCATAATAGGATGTTTGGAATGGTTTTGGAGAAAATTATAATTCCTGAAATCCAGAAAGTGTCTGGACAAGTTGAAAAGAAAATCTGCGCTGTTGGCATTACAAAAATATTAACAGAATGTCCTCCCATGATGGACACTGAGTACACCAAGCTGTGGTAGGTACCACACTTCTTCAGGTTCTGCTAGTGAGGCTCTTGGAGTTTTTGGAAATAGGAGCTTTCACCAAAACAGATCCTTCAAATAAACTCCGTTGTGATTTCTTCAGGCCCACTGTTGTTGTGAGGCTGAGTTTTAGGCTTTTCATACCACAAAAATGAAAGAGTGTTTCCAAAGTAGATGCCAGAACTGGTTTGAGATGTTTTTGGTGGGGATAGCATGGATTTGGCTGGCTAGAGCTCCATTTAAGGAAATACACTACTTTCTTTCAACTTGTGTTCTTTCTGAAAAGCTAGGCCCACTTTTGAGTTGTAACTGTTCCAGTTAGGAGACCTGAGAATACTCACAACCTGACAGAGAGATTGTAATGTCTTAGTTTGAGAGTGCAGTTTTGGGGAAAGCTATCTGGGAAGATTATAAGCCAGTCCAGCAGTCTAGGGTATCAGGAAGTCTGAATGTAATGACCATAACTGGATCCAGTCCAGGATCCCTGGACTAAAACTTTTTTAATGTACTTAGGGGAAAGTTGTAATCTGGAGAAGAATTGCTTTCCTTAGATATGTTTCATGACAACTTGACCTGATAAATATTTGACCTGATAATATATTGCTCATGCTATTAATATAAACACCTCCATTGTGCCTGTAAAGTACACAGATCTACAGTTCTAGTCCAGTTTACCTTGGACATTTACAATTTCAGTAGCTAAGCAAGTACCTGCAAAGGCTAAATTATAAAGGGTTCCAAGTAATTTGAGCATTCTTGTAAAACACAGCCTGTCCTAACACATTTTAAGTGCTCCAGTGTTCCCCTCCCCTCTCTACACCCAGGATTCCTTTGCTGCAGGCCCTCATTGGCCTCTTCGAGCTGCCTGAGGATGACACAATCCCTGACGAGGAACACTTCATTGACATCGAGGATACTCCAGGCTACCAGACTGCATTCTCCCAGCTAGCCTTTGCTGGGAAAAAAGAACACGATCCTGTAGGTCAAATGGTGAACAATCCTAGAATCCATCTGGCACAGTCTCTTCACAAACTGTCAACAGCGTGCCCGGGCAGGGTAGGTGACTCGTGCACGTGCACCCTAGTGCTGTGTTCAGCAGGGAGGGAATGCCCCTGTGAGAACGGGTCTCTTTGCTGATGTTTGATAATCAGCAAAATGAAGTGGGTCATAACCAGAATGCAAGATCTTGCTGTGTCTTATTCTTTATTGGAACATAGCTTCTGCGAGTTTTTTTTCTTAGTAACCTTAGAAAGGCCTTATTTTCACAGCACTTAGTTTAGCAATAAGCTTAAATATGCCATTTCCAAAATGGAAAATTACCCACTTGATGGCTTATAACTAATGCTTGTCTCTAGTTCAGTTGCACATACTCAGGAAATTCAGGCAGCTCATATAAAGTCAGGCAAGTGGAGTGTACAGTTAACTCCCTTACCCCACAGTATCCTTGTTTTGTTCAAGATTTTAGTTAGTAAAGATTGCCTGAGAGATGAGCTGCTTTCACCATGGGTAACTGCTGCTCTGTGTCTGCCCTTGTATGACGTGTGTTAACAGGGTGTGGCAGAGGGCTGAGTGTCACTGACCCCTCTGCTCTGTCCTGTGCTTTAAGGTTCTGTCCATGCTGAGCACCAGCCTGAACGCAGAAGCGTTGCAGTATCTCCAAGGATACCTCCAAGCTGCCAGTGTGAGTCTGCTCTGAGATATTCCACAAGCAAGATCAAAGGCTGGTTTGTTACACAGAAGGTTGACACTGACTTTTTTTATAGCAGAGCTCAGACAAAACGAAAAATGCTGCTTGAAATTGTATTGCAGATTCCATCTTGTAAAAGATAAATGTGGCTTTAAGGCAAAACTGAAAGAATTTCTGGTTTGTGTACTCCTAGATAAAGGTGGCTAACTTCCACTCCCAGTCTGATTTTCAGAGGGAGTAGTCATAGCGGTTTGGTATGGGATTTTATTTGAAATCTGCATCTGCAGTGTTTGGATGATACTTGGAATTGTATGGAGAGCACTGGCTGTAGAAACTCACTTCAGTCACTAAAATTCCTTTTCATTTTAATGTTGTCCTTTGTATTTCTTTTGTCTTTCCTTAAACTTTATCTAAATTGTGAATAAATAAGAAGTACTTGTTTAAAATGCCTGTCACTGTGCGCTTACTGTTTTAGAAGAATGTAGTTGGTTTAAAAAAAGAGGTTTTACATTTAGGATAGCATATAAAATAGTGGGACTGTGAGGATTTTTCTGTAAGTAGTAGTTTAAGTGCATTTTAGGATCATACAGAACAGATCTAAAAGTTTGGGAGAACAGCCAGAACTGTTGTCACTCTTGAGTGCTTTTTAGAGCACTGGTCCTACAGGGATAGGAATAAATTGAATTATAGAGACTGGAAAACTCCTGAATAAGAGTGAAGTCTCAGACTTATGTGATATTAAGCAGTGTTGTACATGACAGAATTTTTTTAGTTGTTTGTCCACAGACATTCTGCAGGTGACTTGAATCAGGACTGGTGATTTGTATTTGTATTAGTTGATGCCTGTTGGAGCTGGGCCTTGTGTCAAGAAAGTTGCTGAATTTACTGAGGGAGGAACAGGGCAGAATCAGCTGTCTTTCAGTTCTTCCTGGTACCTGGAAGTTCATCCTGGCCATAGCTCTTATATGTAAAGAAATGAGTTGCCTGTTAGAGGATGGATTTAAATAATAACTAAGTGCCTGAAAATGTAGTAAAAGAGTCAGCATCAACAGGTTTTTTTAACCTGGTCTGTCAGGGAGTGTCAGGCCCTCATTGGTAGATGTGAAGTGAAAGCAGTGCTCAGAGTGAAGCACTGCAGGGGTGATCCTGAAGAGCATCTGCCTTAGTGCTGCTGAGACAGACTGTGCTGTGCTCGGGTGTCTGGAGCTCCTGGCAGCAGGAATGTCCCAGACAGGCTGGAACCACAGGGACACATGTGACATCTGGAAGGAGCTGAGCGCCCGCCTCGAATGTCAGTGTGTACTGAGCCGTGGTCCTCAACCTGCAGCCAGAAGGATACTCAGAGCACTGCTCTGCAGCTTTGTCTTTTTCCCTGGACAATATGGAGAACAATTCTACAGAGAACTTGCAGACCTTCTTTTTTCCTGCCATCCTCAAAGAACCAAACTGGAAGGGTGCTGGTGGCCGTGTCCCAGTGACTGTGCTGGAGAGGGACTCTGCAGCTCCGAGCGACAGCCGGGGCCTCACATTGGACCATCTCACTTGGGCAGCTCCGAGCAAGATTTCCTCAGAGACTCAGAGCTTGCTGAGATATGTGAGGGAACAGATGTTTCTTGTCTTACCAGTACCAGCGTGGATGGAACTGGACAGGATCCACAGCAAGAAGGCAGAATCTGTTAGAGAGATGGCCACAGAAAAATTGGCTCTTCTAAATGGAAAATTATCAGTGAGTTTTGATGTTCACCGTCTTGCGCTCCTTGCAGTGTGTGACTGTTGTTGGATAGACATTCCATGTGAATAAGTGCCTAAGTGACATCAGATCAACAAATACCATACTAGTCCTTCAGTTGACTCAGAGCTGAGTAACTCAGACTGTGTAGACACGGCTGTGGCACTGCTGGTGACGTGTTCTTTAGTGCCAGCACACTGTGCAGGGTTTGTGAGGGTCTGTGCAGAGCACTTCCCTTCAGGGCAGTGAGTTAGGGTGCCATCAGCACTGCCCTCTCTGCATCCAGGAGGGACCTCCCTGCTCCTCCTGACACCTCCTGTTCTCAGGATTCAGAAGGCGAAGTCCCACCTACATTTATCTGTTCATTTGGTGGAAGCTGATGCAAGCTGTGTTGTCAGAGCTTTTTGCAAGACTGTGTTGGACAGTTGGGCAAACACCAGTTTCTTTGGAAAGTGCAGGCTGGGAACACCTGGTGTCAATCGACCTTCCGAGGACCTGGGAGCACCTAATTCAGTGTAGTGAACTCATGCCCTTCACTGAGATCTTCTGAAACACTTCTGAAAACAAGGAGCCAATTCTTACTTGCAACTGATGATGGTACAAGATCATTCAAATTCAAGTGTGGGAATGTTACTTGCTTCTTTCTGAGTGTGAAGTGGGTGAAGGGATGCCTGGTTTTGGATCCTTTGGCACCATGGAACTCTTATCTACTCTCCTTTCTTAGAGCCTGCTGATTGATTTGGGATTGTCAGCTTCAAAATAATATTCTGAGGCTTTTGTAACAGAAGAAATACCTTATTGTTGGTTCAAAAACCCAAAACCAAGACCAGTGTGTTTTCTTGTTTCCTGGGGCTGTGAATGGGCCTCAGCACTGCCAGCATTGCTGCCAGTGGGCAACACGTGCTAAAGCAAAGCTCTGTTTCTCTATTTCTTCGTGTACCTGTGTGCTGAGAGTCACCCCCTCAGCCAGACATTTACTTCCAACAATTCTCTGATGAGGCCAGACATTGATTTTTGTCTTAAAACAGCTTCATCCTTCCTTAGAAGTGACAGTTTCTCAGTACCTGGGGATTCCATCAACCAGCAGCAGCCGAGGGCAGAGCTGTGCCCGTTCTTCCAGCCCCCAGCAGAAGTACCACAGGCATTTCTCCCATTCCAGGCTTTTGCTTTGGAAACTGCAGTTGTTCACTGACACGTGGGTGCTCCAGGCACGGCTCCTCTGGGAAATCTCTCAGTAAAGACACCCAGCTCTCAGAAAAGCAGCACAAAGGCTTTGTTTACCCTTAGCTTTTACCCTTACTTATTTAAATGAAGTCATTCTTGCCTTTCCTGTAGTGTAGGGGAAATGTTCTGGGCCTGGGCTGCAGTGGCAGGGCCCACACAGGACACGAGAGGCTCAGTGGCTGCTGGTGACAGCTCAGGCAAAGTGACTGAAGGCTTAAAAGTTCTCTCTCAAAATAGGAATCTTCTCATTCACATGAGCTCACAGCTTATGCTGGACTTGCTCTATTGCATTCAAGATGAGAGCAGAAGAAAATGCTTTATTATTAAAGTAATAAATCTTAATAGAAAGTAAAAGATATTTTGTTACTAATAAGTAATGTCTCAGAAAAGCGTAGTAACAGGGGTTTAGCTCAGCTAGTTCATCTAGGTCCTAGTAAAAAGTTTTCATTTTCTAAGGCTGTGAAGAGAAATTCACACTCTTGGGTTTGTGCCTGATATAAGGGGTATTTTGAAGTAAGTATTTAACAAAGAAAATATATTAATAACAAATATCAGATTTCTCCATGAACATCTGAAAATACTGGCATTACAGTACTGCTTCCTTACAAAAGAAAAGTGAAAGTTTAAAGTATTTTACAAATTATAATCTAGAAAAAAAGTCTCTGTCCTTGTTTAAGCTGCTGTGCAGAGTGGAAAAGTCTTTTGGAATATTTTTGAATAATTAATAATCATTCACATGATAGAGGAGTAAATGCCCTTCAGTGAAAGAACAAATGTGTTGGCTATTTGACATGTGCCAAAGTGCTCCTCAGGCCTTTGAATTCCATGTGCATTTGCTTCAGTTATGTTCAGTTTTGTGATCTGGCTGCAGATGCTTTTTGTCTCGACTGCAAATTTTACCCATACCCAGGCATTCACAGAGAACATAAACCTGAATTTTTACTGTAACTCGCTTTGGAATTCCCTGTCTCCACATAACTTACTACAAAAAACCTCCACAAATGTTTCATTACAGACAACACTGAGCCTTGCAGTAGTGATTGCACAGCAGCTGAAATTTCATTTCCTTCTGAAATGTG